GCGATACGAATCCAACGGTGAGGTCCATTTTATCATCCAAGTTCTAAAAAATTTTAGGTTTACAACCCGTACTATAGTGGCAGAATTATCATCTTGCCCTTTTTCATAAAAAGTTTAAATTTATTCGGGTTTTATATTCTTCCCCCCTTAAAAGAATTTCGTCCCGGAAATTCACACATACATACACACTTAACCGTATGCATATGCAAAAATGTCATTATACTTAAAATTATAAAACTTGTACCTTCATTCTCGAACAAGAACGATAATTGATACGTATAGTGTCCTCACGCTCCCATGTTGCCTCCTCCATACCTCGGTGCTGCCACAACACTTTCACTAACCTCACGGTCTTACCTCACAAAACCTGCTCATGGCTATCCATGATATGCACCGGTCCCATTCGCGTCAACAATCATCTCACCCCAATCCACCACATGTGTCGAATCTGGAGTATACTTCCGAAGCATAGAGACATGGAACACCGTGTGAACACCTGATAGATTTGGTGATAACGCCAACCGATAAGCCACTGTACCCAACCTCTCAAGTACCTCGAAGGGCCCGATAAACCTCAGCGACAACTTCCCTCATTTTCTGAACCTGATCACTCTTCTCTTGGGCATCACCTTCAAGAAGACGTGATCTCCTACCTCAAACTCCAGAGGTCGCCGCCATCAGTCAGCATAGCTCTTCTGTCGACTTTGAGCCGGAAGAAGATGCTTTCGAATCAAATCCACCTACTCCGAGGTGTTTTTAATCAAATTCAAACCCATAGAGGGTCTATCTTCCACCTCCGTCCAACAGACCGGAGAATGGTAAGGCCTCCCATAAAGTGCCTCATAGGGTGTCATCTGTATGCTTGCCTGATAACTGTTATTGTAGGCGAATTCCACTTAGGGTAAGTGATCTTCCCAACTACCTTTGAGATCTAGGACGCATGCCCGCAGCATGTCCTCTAATATCTGGATGGTCCTCTCTGACTGACTATCCGTTTGGGGATGAAATGTTATACTCATCGTCAATTGAGTCCCCATAGCTCGTTGGAAGCTCTCCCAAAAGTGGGCGGTGAACCTGGAATCTCGATTCGATACTATAGATACGGGCACCCCATGCAACCTAACAATCTCCTATATGTACAATCTGTAGAATTTCTCGAGTCGGAAGGTCATCCGCACTGCCAAAAAGTGCGACGACTTCGTAAGCCGGTCCACTATCATCCACACTGCGTCATGTTCCCGCGATGTCCGTGGCAAGTGGGTCACAAAATCCATGGTAATATGCTCCCACTTTCACTCAGCTACCTCCAAAGGCTAGAGCAACCCTGCTGGTCTCTAGTGCTCAACCTTAATCTGTTGACACGTGAGACATCTACTAACGAATTCACCAACTTGCCTCTTCATCCCACTCCAATAATACTGGCGATGAAGATCATGATACATCTTCATGCCACCTGGATGCATTGCAAATCGGGAGTTATGGAACTCCCTAAGGATCTCTTCCCTAAGAATCTCTTCTCTCAGATCCACTAACTGGGGAACTATAACCCTTCCCCTGTACCGAAAGCTGTCATCTGAGTGAATGGTCCAACCCTCGTCACTAGTACACGACCCACTTTTTCTCGGGTCCGTTTTTACCCCGAAACGATTAAATTTTGTCTCAGTTCATGTTTAAAATAATTTTATTTTAATTTACCTTAAATTAATTTCCAAATTTTGAATTTTTATTAAAAATTTTATTTTGTGGGTGACCCGAGACTCGACCGCCTCGTAAAACGTAAAAAATCTAACTAATTTAGAATTCGATAAAATTTGACGTGATAACTAGATTTTATGAGACGAATCCAATGGTGAGGTCCGTTTCTTCATCCAGTTCCAAAAAATTTTAAATTTACAACCCGTACTGTAGTGATAGAATTATCATTTTGCCATTTTTCATAAAAAATTTAAATTTACCCGAATTTTACATCAAACACTACACTTGATGGATAATGGGTGAGCTTAGGAAAGTTGGCTCAAGGACCCAATTGAGTCGCATTATTTACATAATAAATTGGGTTAGAATTAGCAAAATGGGTTAAATTATCCCTCGGGTGAGAGACCCAGTGTTTAGGATACGCACTCCCTTAGTTTAGTCCATAAAATGTGTCGGTGTATGAAAAATTATTGGTGGAAGTCCATGAATTTCGTGTTGGCTAAGGGTTGTTGGTGTAAGTCTATAATATTCACCCTAAGAAAGACCTGAAGATTTTTAAAAAGACCATTGGATATGCAACATCAATGGCAAGGGCTTGGAATGCCCGATTTTATACTCATGACATTGCATGGGTGATGAGAGCTAGTAAAGGCTCGGGTTGAGTTGCATTAGTGAGTCTCATCTTATTTCATGACACGATATAGTGAATTCCAACATTGAGTTGCATATTCTTGATTGGAATGCTTTGTAGCTTGTTGAAATTTCATGTGACATTTTATATGCATCTAGGTTGGGGAGTATCCTTTTTTAGGAGATATCTTATTGAGTGTAAGTCACTCTTTATGGGAAACATTTCAAGCACAGGGTATATATCGGTGGACATTTCACACTTGGGGCCTCAAGGATGAAGCAAAGCCGATTTGTGGCTTTTAAACCATATTTTGTAAAACAATTGCTAAATTTGATTTTGGACATGTAAATCTATGGAAAATAATTGTAATCGAACTTATATGAACTATTTTTAATGTAAAATTGTGTGTTGTTATATGAGTATAGATAAATGGACCCGGTTAAATCAATGTTGTGTGATTACACATGTTGTGTTTTGGGTAGAGTTCCCCATACAAATGAGACTCTGCCCAAATTTTGTTAAATTATGGATCTTTGTAAATAGGGCATAACGACATGATATCAAGTTATACGGTATCCATGAGTATTTTGCAGGTTGATGGGTGATCAATGAGTTGACGGGTGATCAACAGGTTGACAAAGGACCCCCAATTTTTGGAGCGTCACAATCAAACGCTTGTATGGGGTTGTTTCTTTTAGAGGTCAACCATTATTGTTCACATAGATCTGAGGTTGAGGAATAGTATACCTTTCTTGGGAATAGATTCGTCAATGCCATATGAAAACGGTACATGCCTTTCCTATAATTGTTTGTGATGTGGCTCTATAGGGAATGATTGAGATTATTTGTGATTGTGGTGGGTGAAGCAACCAACATACATGAGAAACTTAAGATGATGTTTATTAAATTATTCTTTCTGTACTCTAATTCCTAAATGTTTACTTATGTTATTGAATTACTGTATTCCGTAAACTTGAGATCGTTACAACTGACATTATTTTACTTTCAAAAGTTATATACACTATTTTTCTAATAGATACTTCCCTATTCTATGTTTTGAAAATCCTTGTTTGGATTTTAGAGGAATTTTCTATGGGCTTTTGTTCACCCCTTACAACAACATTTATAGATATTGACATAAAGGAGGATGTCGACTTAAATGAGTAGATAGATTTTGAGACCGAGGTCGATCAATACAATAATCTCAGTGGTGAGGATTAGAGTTATTTTTACAGTCGATGAATTTTAATCCATTTAGTTAGTGATGTAATAAACATTCGTTAGTTAGTAGTTTATTTTGAGAACTGGTATCATTTAACTATTTTGAATGTAAACTTGGAGAAATCTACTTTGTTTAGTTTTGGGAGTTTTATTTATTTATGATGAATGGTGAATGGTGAATGGTGAATGGTTTTGATATATGTTTGGATGATTTTTAGTTGTTCTTATGGTTTGATGGTTGTAGACAGGTAATGCCCAAATTGTGGAATTTGGGGCGTTATAGAACCAAGAAGGTTCCTTGTAGTTTTTTTCAAGGAGGATTTCTGCACTAACAAATCACTTGTGTTCTTTATTGTTTATTGTACACACTTATAATTATTTGCACACATACACACTATGTATTTGTTGGAATGATTGTTTCATATTCATCCATACATAGTTGTGCAATTGGGTTCGGGATTTGGGATTGACGTGAGATTGATTATGAGCGAATGAATTGAATATTAATTTAATCAATCGTTATGGTGAAAATGGGTTGTGGTGACTAAAGAGGTTCTCACATTAATTTTTATATCTTTATGAGACGAGGTAATTGTGGTGTGTTATGTTTTAATTGGTAATCAATTAGACTAAAATTGAAAAATATATTCACCCATCTCTAGGTAAAGTGTCTATTACTATACGTGTATAATTGTGATGGAAGATATACATTGAGTTTCCCCTCCCAGAACAACACATAGTTTGAAAGTTTTTTTTAGCTGATGCCATCATTAATGGTTAGTATTCATAACACCCGACAAATTAGGAGTTTAACGATGACAAGATTAAATGTTGATGTAATGTCAATTTTTAAATGTTAGGGTGCTTGTTCAATTTATGTTGAATATCAAGGGCCTGTGTTAAATTTACGATAACTTTATGCAAAAATCATAATTTAGCTCTCAAAAGTTCTACCACATCTATAAATTTTGTTTCAAACACATTCTTGTTAGTTTAAAAATCTCGCTCTCACACAAAGGTTTGTCTCCTTTTAAATTTGAGTTTCTACGTTAGAATGGTTTGTATCAAATGAAACATTTTATTTTAATATTAACCTAAATTTGAGTAAAAAATTAGAATAATGCTATTTAAATTTAAAAATTTAATATAATTTATTGATCTAATAATATAATTTTATAAGAATTATCGAATTAACATCAAATTCTAATATTTAATAAAACCCTCAATCAATTCAAACATTATAATAAATTAAGTTAACAAATGGTATCAATTAGTTAAATCCCAATAACCTTCCCCAAAAATTTGAATCAAGGGCGAAGGTAAGTCACTAGTGAACTATAAAAATGCGCGTACTTTGTTAGAAAAAAAAAATGATCACTCATGCTGCCGTTTATGTAGGTACTACATCGCTCTCGAGAAAAACTGTATCATTACTCACTGCGCACGGTGAAGAATGCGAGTCCTCGCCAAACGACTCTCGCGAGCTCTCTACTGCGCTGAGTCTTCTTCACCATCATCATCTCCTTCAGTCACTCCTCGTCATGGCTCGCTGATCTTAAAAACTCTCACTACTTGTAGCAAATCTCAGCAGTCAATTAAAGCCGCCGACCAAGCAGTGCGAGGCGTTCTCGCCACTCCGTGGTCCGCGACGCAGCTCCGTGGAGCCAAATTGCGCGGCGCCGATGTAAGTTTCCCTCCTGCTTATAGAGATACATACATACTTATATATTTGTTGAGATGAAATTGGTTGTAAAATCTTCATCGTAATTTTATGCAGGTGAGACCAGGAAATGTAGTTGAAAGAAAAGGTGGATTTTTTTAACACCGCTAGTATATAAGTTCTCTCTCTAAAAACCCTTTTTGATTAGTGTATTCAAAGACATGCTAACGACAATTTAATACAATTTGGTACTCTGGGCGGGGCTTGACCTAAATTCAGGAAAGATTTACCAGGTAAGTGGTTAGGCATTTCAATTCGGTTTCTTTCTTCATTCCAATTTTTATGTTAATGTCAGCTATAAGAATTATAGTTTTTTTTTAACCATAAATCTGGGTTAGGTTGTGAAGGCACAGCACACAACGCAAGGCAGAGGAGGGGCCATAATTCAGGTTATTCTTGACTTCTTTATGTTTCAAGTTTGATTATTTTGTGGTATTTTTAATTAGAGTATCCTGGAATCATCAATCAACAAATGCACTTGTGTGTTTTATGTTGGAATAAGTTTGAATTTGCAATAATGGTGTGGCATTATTGGGAGCATTTGTTGACAGTCATCTGTTTTGTGGTCTATACTCAATAGGGGATTTTATTGGTCATATGTTGGGGGAGGAGGGATTTGATTTTCGATATGCGAGAACCAAGTAATGATATCTAGAAACTCACTTGGCTTGTAACATACAAATGTAGGCTTTATGGACAACAAGAAAAGAAAATAAGTGAAATGACTTATCCATGATTTATAGACAAGCTTGTATAAGTAGGCAATTATTGAGTTGTTGGGAATTATTCACCATCGTTAGATCAAGACACCCGTGTGCTCTATAGTCGTACCAATTCTCCTACACGATGCTAGCAATTTTAGGAGGTGATTATGCTAGAGATACAACCCTTGCTATTGGCTCAGTTAGTGTGTTCTGACCCAAGTTCCCATGTACTCTTCCATTTTTCTGATTTGAAATTGAGGTTCTTCAATGATTTTTTTTTCTATCTGAAAAGGTTTCAAGTTTTTATATCTTCTTCCTTGTCGTACTTGTTGGTTCAACTTGCACACATCTTTATAAGAAAATGATGCAAGTTTATGTTAATTTAGCCGGATTGTACTCTTGGCCTAAGCACTCAGAACTGGCTGATTGATGTAGGATGGTGAAAGGAGAAGAAGAAGAGATACCAAATCCTTGCAAATATTAGGTCATAAAACACAAATTCTCCATAGAGAATTGCTACGACCCTCTTTTTTTTATTGATTCAATACAATGGGGGAAAAGATTGTATAGTTCCCTACCGAGACAAACTCTCAACAGATCCTCCGCGCGCTGGACATACCTCTTCCGTGCGTCTTTCTCGTGGGGGGAACAGAACAATAGGGAAAGACCAGGCTGACTGACCCAGGGCTCGAGGGCAAGCTTTATTTATTTAAGAGAGAATGACGAATGAATTGAGAGGCTTCCGTTTCTGTTCTTGGTTTGGGGGCTTTTGGGCTCCTCTCGATCTTTTTCGTAGTTGAGAAAGGAGAAAGAGTCTAAATCAATGGACATTAATGAACCATCATTGATGGATGTTGCACATGACATGATCAATTCGACTCAAGAATATGGAGACTCGATTCTTTCTCATGGATCCCAAAGTCGGGTTTTGGTTCTCTAAAATAAAAGTCAGCATCTGGTTTCAAGGATAAACATAGATTAGACCGCCCCCAACTTTTACTGTCAGGTGAGATAAGTTGCTCCCACTCCACAGGTTCTAGGAGTCAATCTATGGATAGGAATGGACAAAATAGTCTTCCTTTGAAACGACATACCCCTAAAAAAGTTTCCACCAAAAGTGTATGGGTAGGACCCCCCAGCCAGTTATCTGCCTTTGTTGTTCTTTAAGCTCTAAAAGTTGGTATTCTTTCCAGACATGATCCTTATTAAAGATGAGATCCCTTTTAGGGTTGTTGAGATGGATTCCTAGTTGATGTAGAGATTCCCTATGTTCAATTTGAAGATCACTCATATTCAATTTGAAGACTGATTCAACGGTGACATCCTTCTTTAGAGAGGGATTAGCATATAATTGTATAAACCGTTCGAAGTCCACATGGTCTCTTTGGTCTTTAAAACATAACTCTTCGGAGCTACGAAATATCCTTAAAGGACAATATGCTCTAACTTGAGCTTGTCCAAGACGGTGGATGAGATCTCCTTTTCTGGCAGTGGGCTCCCAAGGAAGGTTGAATCAATATCAATGTAGTAGTAGTCCTCTCTTGAGATGTATTTGTACATATAGATTCAAGCAGAGACACTAATAGTAGCAGAGAGCTGAACGGCCGAGATTCTAGGTGGATGCTATTCATTGTCCCCATCATTGAGAAGGTTCCTGGTGCCTTGGAGATTGACGTTGTTGGCCATGATCTCAGGGTCTGATTCACCAAAGCGTTTTAGGTTCTCTATTTTGACTAACCTCCCGGACGGGCCTCTAGTAGTTTGCACCCACCTACGGTTTGCAAATTGATGGCAAACTGAGTCTAAGAAAGATTACTCTTGTGTCGAACTTATGGTTCAACACTCAAGATTAGGATAGGATGTACTGTAAAGGCTGACACTGACTTAATATAATAAGGTTTAGAAAGACTGCAAATATGAGTGCTTGTTGCTGTATGTTTCCAGATTAATGTTCGATGTTGCACTACTGTATGTTGAATCAAGTGATCTCGAATTTCAATCGATTGAGAATCTCATCATTTGTTAGGTGCACAACTGACCGACCGAGTTGGGGGTTGGGTGTCCATGTCATAGAACCTTTATCGAGCCAAGAATCCCATTATTGATCGAATGGGGGCGGATTCTATTCATTGACAAAAGTGGGAGCCAAGGACACGACCGATACTACTGGAGGCTTTTTTCGAATCTCTTCCTCGTAGTGATCTACAGATTCAGGAACTACGGGCGGATTCTGAGCTGGAGGGGGTACTGGATCTACAAGTCTAGCATCTACTCTTGGTTGGCTTTGTGGTTGTGAATTTGTGTCCCCTGAATTGGGGTGACGATGAGGAAGCTTGGGAGGAACGTTTCCAGAGGCTGAAGGAGGGTTCCAAACCTCCAATATTGCAAAAAATTCATAGTTTGCACACTCTGTAGCCCTTGCACTCTCCGAAATAGGTGACTATGCTTAGGACTAGTGGTGCTTGCAAACTGGAGGTCGCGGCAGCTTGCTTGCTAAGGTACGAACTATTGCTGGTAAATAAACGACCCAGTGAATTCTCGCGGCAAGCGTCTCTGAGGTCTTTGGTCTAGTGATAGTAATATCACGCTCGACAATAAAATAATGGGGATTACATCAATATTTATTGGCTAAGTATCCTACCAAAACAAAACTTACTCTCCTAATAAAATTCTGAAGTAGTTTCATAATCAAACTGTCAAATTACTCTCCTATTAAAATCTATAATGAATTTATAATCAAATTCTCACTGATACTCCTAATGAGATAAAATTATTCTTCTAATAAAATCCTATCTAGAACAATCTTAATTAGTAAATATTAGTTAACCAAACAATCTACTACATAATAAAAATAAATAAAATCTTTATTCTTCAATTTGATCTTTATCCAATCAATTGTCGATCTCTATCAATTCGGCTCTACTGAAAAACTCTTCTATGAAGAGTTGTAAGTTCAGAGGGGCTCCAAGAGATTTGAATAATCTTTACCCCAAGAAAATAGTACTGTAGATCCCTAGAGTGGAAAACGATCCCTTGATGCATTGTATCTTTCACAATCTTGTCCACATACATTGACATAGGTGAAGGAAGTATATAAACTAGTGGATTGGAGACAAAGTAGCAACTCTATTTGTAGTGACACCCTTTAAAACTCCTTTAATTTTTTCTTTGGGAGTATGCTTTGAAATCGATTTATCAAAAACAATTGTTACTGGATGAGTAGAACTTTTGGCCTCATCATCATTAAACAATTTTGGATTGTCATCATTCAATCGGACTGGAGTTTCTGGTGGTAGAGCTTGTTCAAACACTTGTTGTGACAGATAGGTGAAGGAGATGAATGAAAAATCTACTTTGTTCATACAATTGTCGATTGGGAGCTTAATTTCAAAAAATGTAGCCAAGGCATCCATAGTTGGCCATGTCTACAGTTGCTTTCATTGGGGCCACTAATACTTGGAGAGCATCCATCAATGCTTGGAGCACATCTAGGCACAAATCATATGCTTCAACTCTAGCACTTAGTTTGACATTGGTAACCAACTTGATGGAAGTAGTGACTTGAAATTGTTTAGCAAATTCTATGGCCAAACTGTAATTTTACAAAATTTGGTGGCTAAAGTGTAATCTCCAAAATTTTGGGAATGTTTGTGTAATTTTGAAAGTGTTGTGGGTTGGTTTTGGAATATTTCCCAGAAAATTGGGCTGCTTTGGTTAGGTAAGATAGGTTGGATCCCTTTTTTATTTTGTAATTGGTTGGAGCAACTTGGGTGTAAACAAGTGGGCTTGGCTTAGGTTTGGGTTGGAATTTTTTTAAAACTGGCTGGTCACTTTTTGTCTGAGTTAGATTCTTTTTATTTTTGGAATGGGTTGGGTTAAATCTGGATCCAAAAATTTGGAAGATACACGGACAAGACTTCTTCAAGTAAATTCCTCCTTCTAGGTCACAACTTGCGAACCTTAGCTTCTTTAAAGTTAGTTGATCAAGGCAATAACCAAGCTTTTGTTCATCAACGAAGATGACGAAAGCAATAAAAATTTACATATCCGAGGTCTTCGAGATGCTGTAAACAGTGGAACACATTTATGAAATCCAACGACAATGAATATCTGGTTCTTCACTATGATGAAGGCAACAACGAGCAAAAACCAACAATAGATGGTGGAAGTCAGCAATTGATATCTATTTGAGTTGAAATCCAGGGGAAATCTCAGCATGACAACAGTGTCAACAGGTAGCAGTTGCAATTATTAATCAAAGTTGGATTTTGATACCAAATTGGTGCAAAATGTGGATATGGAAAAAAAAATCAGAGAATAGAAAAGAAGAAGAGATATCAAATTCTTACAAGGATTAGGTGAGGAAGACACAAATTCTCTACAGAGAAATAATTTATTAATATCACACTTTACAATAAAATAGTGGGGATTACATCAATATTTATAGGCTAAGTCTTCTATCAAAACAAAACTTACTCTCCTAGTAAAATTATAAAATAGCGTCATAACCAAAATCTCAAATTACTCTCATATTAAAACTCTATAATAAATTCCTCATCAAACTCTCAAAGTCTCATTAATACTGCTAATGAGATCAAATTACTCTTCTAATAAAACCCTATCCAAAACAATCCTAGTAAGATAAATAATAGTTAACTAAACAATCTACTAAATAATGAAAATAAATAATATCTTTAATCTTCAATTTGATCTTTATCAAATCTCTTTTCGATCTCCATCACTGCCAGCAATGACTGCACTGGAGGATCCCAAGAGTTACTTGTCACCCTTTTATTTCTTTTACCATGTTTCGTATGTTCAATTGTATACTTTTATCGCATCTCTTATCGTCGATATGCCTTTTGAATCAACCACCCCTTTCCTCCCCCCACCCAAAAAATAGGCACATGTGTGAGTAAGTATCATTAAAACTACTAAGTTGTCCCTTGGATCTTTTATGTATGCACACTACAGGTATATGTTGGGTTTGATTTTTTTTATTGACAACTTGAATAGAAATAATGGTTTTTTAATACAAATTGATGAAACCAAGGAAATAAGTTTCTATATTGCTTTAGCTTCTGTCATTATTGTCACTTGTTATTACCATTTTTGTCCGGTTCACATTAATCAATTCGTCATTAAGTTGTGCCATGTGGCTACCTTCATGCCTTAGATTTCTCTCATTCCACAAAAGGAGCACCATAATAGACACAAAAATCTATTCCAAATAGGACATTTCCTTGTTTCTTCAAAATGGGGTTTTTGTGTTGTAAAAAATGTTTTGGTATTGTTTAAATTTATAGATATGAGCTTTATGGCTACTTTTTGTATCATACAAATAAATGTTAGATGTAGACTAGTGTAATAGAGGTAAGTATGCCAAGTAAAAGGGACAGAGAATAAAGATGCTCAGAATGGAGAATTAGCACATTCAGTTAACCAAGTCGAAAGTAGTTGGTTTTTTAAAGAATGGCCTTCCAAAAATTCTTGAATCAACACTAGATATGATTGTCAAATTAGGGTAAAAAACCTATTAGGATATTTGCCTTGATGAGCAAATTGCTATCAATAAAAGGAGTAATTTTACTGTGATGAGGCTATTGGTGATATTGAGGATATGACACACAAGTGAAAATAATGATTTGGTTTGGAACACTATTCTGAAACGGTTTTTCAAATATCCCCAGTAACTTTTTTTGTTTCCCTAAATGAAATGTTGGTTTAGGATCCTTCCCCTCTTTCTGCATTTAGTTCTCTATTTGGCCAACTTCAAACAAAATGAGAAAAAAAGATCTGTCAAGAGCATAAGTCTTTCTTTCCCCAGTCTTTGTTCGAAGGAAAGACCTTGTGTTCCTTATTCGTAGGGTTGGAAGACTTTGTTTACCCCAACTTAACGATATTTTTTGTGCGTCCATTACCTACTTTCATTTTGATATTTTTATTTAATCCGGGAGCATATAATTGCCAATTGTAAACAATCACAGGAATTGTTCTGCCCATCTGAATGAAATGCTAGAAGATATCCTAGACAATGGAAGAAATCTTACATTGTGTGTTGTATATGTTTTTAGGTGTTGGCAATGATTGCAACCGAATGTTAAATAAGGCCAGTAAAGATCGTACCTCTAGTACCATTGCTCACATTTCAATGCCTTGCAATTTTATTTTATTTTATTTTATTTTTTAAAATTTAAAATAAGTCACCTTGCTAACACTTAATTATTGAACTACATCCACTTTGACCGAATATATATAATGCTTTACATTTTCAAGATAACCCAACTTTGCCCAGCTTGTTAAGGTTGAGCAACTAAGTCTCTAAAGATTTTACTTTAGGTGGGCCACGTGACAAGTGATAGACTTTGCTTTTCTCACTATATTACATCCTCTTCTGGCTTTGGCCCATGCATTAATGATGCAGTGGGTTGAAAAAAATAATAATTCATTTTCATTAGTGGATGAATAATTTTGGAATCTGATTTGGGTTTCTCATGTATGCCATTTACTACCAGGAAATTTAGAGCAATGGTTGTCTTGTTTGGTTGCTCTCATTCTTCTTTGTATTAGTGATTTCAGAGGCTATTTTTGCTTGACCTTATTTTGCACTCAGTAGAGTCACTGAAATGTGAAATAATATTCGATTGTCATTCTCTGATGAAGTATTCATTTAATTTTGACTGTAATTCATTTTGTGTTGTTTATTTCTTCCTTTTATTGACATTAATTTTTTAACAAGCTACATATACTGCATATTTTTGTTATCCTCTTTACTTGCATATGCTCTTAGGATACTCATTGTCTGGGTTTTGAAAATCATTCTGTTACATCCCGTTTTCTCGGTCCTTTTTGATTTCACAATAGTAACGGGTCATAACAGCCGTTATGTATGGGTAACGGGTGTGTAACGCCAGTAATGGCCGACTTGAGTTAAAATAGATCGTTACGGGTCGTTTTGACTTGAAAACTGAGGGATGTGTAATCCCTTAGAAGAATCGATTTTTAAGTACAAAACCCTAAATTTTTGCTCTCAATAATCCAATCGATTCACCATAACTTGAAATCTTAATCATTTGGATATAAATAATGAAGATTCTACCACAAAACTTCAATTGGATTTGGTTCTTTTGAGGATTCTGAGAAGGAATTAAAGGAAAACAAAGAAAAGAGATAGAGGGGAAATGGGGCTCGGGACTAACGTGGGGAGTGCCTAACAGTTCATCTCTTCCCCATTTGTTGTTCACCCACACTGAGTTTTTTTTTTATTTGGATCACCGGAAAACCGAGTCCACCGGCTTCATGTGTTATGAACGGAGGGAGTGGATGAAGATGATGAAGACAAGAGGGAGATGCTTATACACGTTTATGTGGTTAAATGAGGCTAAGGTGTTGGCCATCATATCCAAGCCACGTGAGATGGGTTCTTCTATTTTACAGTGCCTTGTTCCAAAATTCAACCACTTTTTGATTAAGGGATAATATCTTCTGGTTTTAAACATTAAACCCACTTTTTATTTATGAACTTTTAATATAATAACACCATAATTATTATTTTTTCATGTACTAGCATCTGTACTTAACATGATTTTGGAATTGAAAAAAACAAACATTCATTTTTAGAGATGGTGTGAATTGAAAAAAAATTCACGCCTCTGGTTTCCATTACAATCGCGTAACGTCCATTATGTCCCGCGTCCGTTACGACGGCCGTTACCGTTACCGTTATTCAGAACCATGCTCACTGTTTTCTTTTAAATGCTTCTCTGTTTTGTCAATAAATGGTAGGTGGAGCTTCGTGATGTTGACAGTGGTAACAAAGTGAACGAAAGATTGCGTACTGATGAGGCACTTGAAAGTATGTTTCTTTGCCTTTTAATTTATTGTTGCAAATAATTTGGTTAAATAGTAAGTATTCTTTCTTGCATTGCGGACTTTTTTGGAATGAGTCCAAAGTCCAAGTGTTCCTTGCAGCATTTTGAACTAAAACTGAATCTTGCTTCAAAAGCCTTATTGTTATGCTTATCCATCTTGAAGGCAATTGGTGATGAGTGGAGAGGCTCACAAGCTACTATATGAGTCTCGAGGGGCTATTTTATCGATAAGGGAAGAGCTTTATCACTCCTCCAAACATGCATCCTATTGGCACATGCAAAGATAAACTGAAGAATCAAGCCATAAAATTAGAGTCATAACAAGTGCATCCATGGCACAAACAAAGACTAATTGATCACCAAGTCAAAAAAATTGGGTCTTGCCCAAACCCTCTTTGCACTCATTTATGATACCATGAATGTATGACACAGAGAGAAGAGAGAGAAAGAAAACTTGCTCCACTCTAATACTCGTTCATGATAAAAAATAGATGCAAGAGAATCCATTAATATATATGCATCTGTATTTACATATCCTACAACAAGAGGAAGGCTAAACTATCCTTGATAAAATCTTAGCACTTATGAATGACTAATTTAAACCATTTTAGTATTTAGCTGAGTCTTAATAAGGAGTCTTCATATACATAGAAATATTAGGTTAGGGGCATGCATTGCTAAAAGAGTATCAATGTTTTTTATGTTTTAGTAGTTCTATCTCATGTTATACAGGAGTATTTGTTGAAGAAAAGTCGTTCACTTACCTTTATACTGATGAAGAAACAGACAGTGTTGTGCTAATGGAGTGAGTTTTGTTTTTCTCTTTCCTTGCTATTATGCTTCCTAATTCAAACTTCTATGATTTTTTTACATGTGATATGTATGCTTATATTACTTCACTAAGTGCATTGTCCCTTTTTGTGATTTTAACTAGGCCTAATACATATGTGCAATTGGATGTACCAAAGCACTTGTTTGGTGAATCCCTTGTATATCTAAAAGGTAACAAAATTGCAGTATTGAATGTTTTACAGTGTACAATTGTTTCTTGTTGCTTGTTTTTTTTGTTCATCATGTCAATGAGATTACACGAAGTATCGACTTTCTATTCGAAAGAATGGTACTATTAGGGAATGCTTGGAGTTGGTGGAGCTTCTTTCTTGCTTAATAGTGTTTCCTTAAACTAGGGTTGTATGGACAAAAGATGTTGGACTATTGACCTTTCCGGTGTTTTCTCATGTAAACCATTAATTAAGTCTCTAATTGATGATCCTTCCATTCCTTTGTTCCTTCTATCGAAGGTGATTTGGGAAGCTAGAGTCTTTTCAGGTTTAAATTTGTGTATGGATAATTGCTCACGGTAGAATTAGCACATATGATGTGCCGAAAAGAAGATCTAAGGCTTGTCTTCTACCGCAATGTTAGAGTTATGTGTATAGGTGATAATGAGATTGTGGATCATTTATTTTACATTGTCCTATAGTGCTTTCATTACGGAACAAGTTATTTAGCTATATGGGTTTTTGTTAGGTGGCACCAAGAACTATGTTATATGATTGACATGGATGTTATGTATGGGAGTGAAAATAAAAAGGAAGACTCTTTGGATTTGTCGTTGTTTTGCTACCGTTGGGTAATTTGGTTAGAAAGGAATGTGAGAATTTTTTAATGACAAATACGAGGAGATCAAAGGATTATACGATTGACTTTATTTTTTGACTTCCTTTTGGGCCTCAGTGTTCTAAAGAGTTTGAGAATGTTCTTGCATGGAATGGTTTCCAACAGTTAGTTTGGTAACAACACTTGAATGAACCACTCCGTTTTCAAAGAGGTTAGGAAAGGGGCCGAATGGTCATTGATGTATCCTATCTGATGCTTTAAGTCAGGCAGTGTGAGAGAGAAGGGATATAAGTGTTACTGTGTAAATCTGGTTAATACTTGAGGCCCATCCCTTAGGCCACTTATACCTTGAAGGGGTGCTGACATGGGTCCTTCCCAATCATGTTCAGTCAACATGTCTGACAACTTTTTTGGAGTGAAATCCTCCCATTAATCCATGTGTATAGCGAGGTAGTCATGCCAATGGCTGCCTCATCAGAAGCTGTGCGTGTCCCCATCTAGTTATTGGGTGGTGTCGAGTCGTATATTTACTAGACTTCGGGATAGCCAATTGGTGGTTGGGATCAAAGCGTAATGATGACACTGCTCAGGGTCAAGCATTAAATGATGGCACCTCTCGAGGTATCACCTGATTGGTCCGCGTATGCAAGACCTATGCCTCTTTACTGATATTCATAAGATTCTGTGCTGGTCCCCATGCGGGGGTGGCAGCGTTGCCAACATTCCGTATTATTTGTCATATTAGTCACTCTTAAATGATGTATGTGGGCCCATTAGTGGAGGTGGGCTATTGTGTCCTTAGCAGTAGGTATGCTTCTTGATCTATGCGTGCTCGGGGGATGACGCGTGAGAGGTGGTGGGTCTTGTCTTGGTCCATGTGTCCTCTGTTGATAGGTTCACCAAATTAAGTCCCGTCAATATCCCCCAGCTTTTGGTTTGCTCACGTCATGGCCTACGTGGCATGAGGGAATTGAAGACTTTCCTTGCACATCAGTCATTGGGAATCGTTACACCCACGTTTGTCGCCCATCTTTGAATTTGCATTAAATTTACTTATTCCTTCAGTAATCGAAGTAATCATGGCGAGGGTATAATACCATAAGGTCTTTAGCCATTGGGATCATTTGCAACTTGGAATCCCAGTGCATGTGAGAGATCGTAGCAAAAGACTGAGGCCGACAACAATTTCTAGTAAGTTTGATGACGCAACCCAAGGGGCTTCCGAGATGATACCCTTCTACAACAAGGTCATTATGGATGGAGGGGTTAGATTTCCCCTAAGTGCATCTTGCTTAAATTCGTGATGCACTTCAAGTTGTTTCTCAGGCAATGCTGTTTGAATGTGTTTAGGAAAGTTATGGCAGTAGTGGCTCTAAACTTCTTGGGAGTTAACTTAGGTGTAGAGGAGATCCTTTTTTGTTATGAGCTGCTAGTGGCCTCTTCCAAAAAGTATTTATCTCAAAGTTTGGGAGCCTACTATATACTTGGTGATCATCTACCTGACTTCGACAAGGGATGTACACACAAGACATCATGGTGGATAGCCGGTGGGGAGAGGTGAAGGGACTCAGTACGAAGGCTTGTGGTGTCTAAAGGTACCTGTATGCCTTACTCAGATGGTTCATCCAAGTTTAGAGATTGCAGTTTGTCTTTTTCTACGAAGGACGCTTGAGCTCTCAAACACACTAGGATTCCAAGTTGCAAATGATCCCAATAGCTAAAGACTCTCTGATATTTATATCCTCATCATCATTACTTCGATTACAAAGGGAAGCGGCGCATTAAATACAAATTTAAAAATGGGTGGCAAATGTGGGTGTAACGGTTCCTAATGGCTTATGTGCACGGGAAACCTTCAATTCCCTCACGCCACGTATGCTATGTATGATGTGGGCAAACCGAAAGTTGGGAGCAATTGACGAGACATAATTTGGCGAACCTATTAATAGAGGAAATGTGGACCAAGATAGGACCACCTCTTATGCGTCATCCCCTGGACAATTATAGACCAAGAAGTATACTTATAGCTATGGGCTCATGGAACGTATGCGAGAGAATGTTCCCTTGGGTCTGAGCACCTTCATAGTTCACCTCCACCGATAAGGTCCACAAATGTCATTCAGAGTGACTGATATGATAGCGGATAGGGAATGTTGGCTACGCCTCCACCCCATATTGGGGCCATCATAGAATCTATGAATATCAACAGAGAGGCATGACGCTCGTACATGTAGACCAATCGGGTGATACCTCGAGAGGTGCCATTATTTAATGCATGAATTTGTGCAGGGTCATCATTACGCTATTGACCCTGACTGCCAGCAAGCCATTCCTAAACCTAGTAAGTGCACAACTCGACGCCACCCAATAACGAGATGGGAACAACTTCTGATGAGGTAACCACTAGTCCGCCTTACAAGTGGATTAATGGAAGGATTTTACTCCAAAATTGTTTTTAGACTAGTCAACTGAACATGATTGGGAAGGATCTATGTCAATATCCCCTCAAGGTATAAATAGTTCAAGATATGATTTGTTAATTTCTAAGGTATGCAGGAATTAACCAATTTTACGTAGTAGAACTCATATTCCTTCTCTCTTACATCAACTGACTTAAGCATCGGAGGGATACCGAATGACTATTTGGACCCATTCTACCTCTTTTGGTGTTGCAGGAAAAAATGGAGTGGTCATCCAGGTGTTGCTACCTCATTGATCGCGAGAAATGATCTCGTGCAGTTCCTTTTTTGCATTATTTCAAATTGAACAGCTTTGTGTGGAATGTAGTTTCTTGGTCTTTTTCATGTGGTATTTTCTTTACTTTGACTTGTCTTTGGTTTGGACAACTTGCAACCTTTTACTAGTTTTTTGTACTATTTTTTACTTTTATAATTAATTATATTACCGTTTCTTACTGAAAGCATGTAAGGTAAAAAGGTCCATTCTAATTAGAGTCTTTTCCATTTTGGATGCCCATGCCCAAAATTCATGTTCATTTTTTATATCAGCGTAGTGAATGTTGGTAAATGGTCAAGTTTGCGGAGGTATAATTAAAAATTCTTGCTTTATTCTTGTAATTTCAATGCATGAAACTCCGAATGATTAATTGGAGTACAGGAGATGATTGTAAATTTGCTAGAAATATTCCGTGTTCAAGAAAAGTAGTATGCATGACTTAATGTTGAGTACAAAAGTAACAAAATAATCTATGTTATGGCTAAAATAAGGACACTAAACATATCCTAAAAAAGAAAAAGGACAGTGGAGTAAGTGCATAGTAGGAGTTTGAGGAAACTCCAATTAAAGGTCAATTAAGAGTTTGTGATCCAAGATGACATGGTCATTCTCTATTTTGATGTAAGGATATTAGGTAGGTTGTCTTGTCCTCCAATATATCCATGAATTATGTACTCTTAATTTCTCTTTTTTAAAAATAAAATTTGTCACAAAACAAAAAGCTTGTGTTATGAAAGCCATACATGGACTGAAGGCAAAGGGATCCCTTATGTACTTCTCTTTTTACTTTGATGGTTGATCTTTTGAATAGAATGGTATCTAGCGCCAAAAAAAAAAAAGAAGACCAAGTATGGTATCTAGAGAAAGGATCAAAATTTCGTATCTTTTCCACTGAAACAACCAAAACGTTTTTGATTGCATGAAAATCAAAAAATTAGTGATCGAATATAAAAAGTTTCGATATTTCAGGTTGTTTTGAACTATTTCAAAATTTTTTAGTATGTTTTGGCCAATATTTCGAAAACAAAATTTCAAAATTTTTACTGTTTCTATTCAGTTTCCAAAATTTTTCAGAAACTTTTTCATTTCGGACCCGAATTTTGATCCTGATCTAGAGCAGAAGGAGTGAGTTTAGTAGAGTGGATGAGACCTGAGAGTGGGCAATAAGGGGGTAACTCTATCGTGTTTGTAGTTAGTTGATTCTTTATGCTAGGCAAAAGGGAGAGTTTTCATAATGTGATGTCATTGCTTCTTATTTTTGGAAAAGTTTCAGATCTAAAAATGAATGTAAAAAAGGGGAGTTGTAGGTATTAATTTGGAGGAGGAGGAGAAGGTTACCAAAGATTTTTCTTCAGTGGTTGGTTGTGTTATTTATATGTGGTGGCCTATAAGTTGTGCCATTAGGGGAAAATCTAAGGTCATTGTCCTTTTGGGACCCTGTTGTTGGGATGGTGAGAAAGAGATTGGAGGGTTGGAAAATAGCATATTATTTTTTAGGGTGCAAATTCCTTTGATAAAAAGTATAATTTGTCTCTGTTTAGGATCTCTATTGGTGTTGGTCAAAGATTAGAGAAGATAATGGGGAATTTACTATGATAAGAAATGGGAGATGATGGAAGAGATCTTGTAACGAGCGGGGAGCTCGTGTGCAAGCCTACAGACGAAGGGGGTTGGGACTTGGTAATTTGATATCTAAAAATATTTCTTGCTAAATGGTTATTGTGATTCCTTTTGGAACCTAATTCTCTTTGGCATAAGATAATTAGAAGTTGGTGCCTTTTCAGTGGAATGGTTGTGTTGCTAGTCAATGATCTTGTTAGATCATTGTGGAGTTGGGCTATCCTCCAATGCTTATCTTTATGAAACTAAATATTTGCATTTTTTCTACTAGTCTATGATTAATACTGATTACCATACACTGTTGAAATGTTTCTGCCTTGCTGTAATGGTATAATTCATGGTAAACAGATGATATGACTGTCACTGTGCAACTTTTTGATGAAAGACCAATGTCTGCATCAGTTCCTCAAAGGGTGACTTGCACTGTTGCAGAAGCACAAGTTCCTATGAAGGGGATCGCAGCCACTCCTCAGTATGTTGGATTACTATTCATATCTTCAGTTATGCTCACATATAGGCAGACACGAAGTAGAATACAGGCTATAATATTTTGTCTCTAGGATTTTATGTGACCAAAGATTGAAATTTTGTTTTGGGTTTGTTACATATAAGCTTAACATTTCATTTTGGTTTGGAAACATTAATCAAAAATCATCTTTATGTATCAATAGTAATTAAATTGATAAAGCATGCTTGAGATCTACACTCTCATCCCCACTAGAAAACACCTGTGGAAAGTCCGAAAGTCAATGCTAATGCGAATCAGAAGTATTTATAGTCATGTCAAATTCTACACTTCTCTAAAAGAAACAAACAGTTCATTATTCTTAGAGAAATGTATATCTTACAAGACAAAGGTCAAAGGGGTCCCAGGGTGTAAAGGCGGTCCTCTTAATAAATAAAGTTTTAAATGGTTCCTTTTACACATATGGGATGAAAAAAAAGGTCAAACAAATGTCTATGATGCCAGTTTATCTCCTCTTAGTCTCAACTGCTTATAAGCCAATTTTGTCAGCATTTTGGCTCTCCCACCCTCTCATGTCTCTCTTTATCTGCCTACTTGCACAAATGTTGCAATCACACAGCTACACTGCATGTGAAAGGTCCTATTGTATAAGAGCGAAGGAAGGGAAAAGCATTGTAATAATAAAAAGCTTTAAATGTAGAAATCATGTGTAAAGGAAAAAGACGTATAGAAAATGGCTTGTACGTGGTTCACCTTTCTCCTCTTACTGATTTTCCTTCTTTTTTTTCTACCTATAAATGGTAGATGTTTTGGTACTTTTCATACCTATCATTATTGTTGCTGAGAAAAAAGAAATGGGAAAACTATTTTTGTCAATCGGGTGTCAATCAGAACAACTTTTCTTATGTGCATTTTGGCATGTTCGAATGGCTTTATGCTTTTCGAGGGTTTTCGCAGATCTTTTGCAGTCCCTTACTTCGATTCGGAGACCTGAGAAAAATCACTTGATAGATTGATGTCTGTGACAAACTTTTCCATGCAGGAAAAGTCCCCGCAACAAGGAGGATAATTTTTCATTGCATTTGGCCATCTCTTTTCACAATCAAAATATGTGAAAACCAGTGATATAATAATTATCTGATTAAATTTTTTCTGTAACACTTCAGTTTGTACATTTCAATAGGGCTTATATCAAGCCTTATTGTATTAGGTGTTGGTCTTGAATGAAATTAACCCCGGATATATCTCACTCTGGTCGATTTTACAGTTATAAGAAGGCTTTATTGGACAATGGCCTCACCGTTCAAGTGAGTTAATTTCTTTATACCTGATTGTTTATTTTCCGACTTTTGAGGTGCATTTTTTTCTTCTAAAATTGTTATCTGAATTTTTTACTGCATGATGATTTACTTGAAACTAACAATGACATTCAGTAATTACTCTGTTGCTAAGTCAAAAGGTTGGTAGGCAAGATTCTGACTATCTTGATATGCTTTAGTAATTAGGAAATACATTTAGGCCTTCACGAATTTATAATGAGAGAATCTGTGAGGCTAGGTTTTAGATTTTGGATATGATGAGTTGTTGCACGAGAGCATGACTAGTATAGGGGAATATTTGTGGGCTGAGAATATATCATAGGCTGATTTCCAGAGTAGGTAGGTTTTATGAAATACGATGTCTTGAATTTAGCAAGTGAAGACAGATGACAGAACTGACAGTTAATCCAAATAGAGGTGCTATTTAAGAGGAAATGTGAAGCCAATCATGCAACAAAAGTGAATAATAACTTTCATTGCTTTGTTCATACGAATTAACAACATAAAATATAGTGGAATACCTCTAACCTGAAAAGGGCGATTCTTAGTTAGAAATATCAGCTTTAGTTCCAAGGGATAATTATTAATTACGTATGTGGGCGTGTTGTTATTGTGTATATGAGAGGGCATGCTTGCGGAGAGGCGAGAAAGACTACCTTTTGATTCCTACCTACCTACTTCTGGAGGTTGCACAAATAGAGAGTTGCTCCAACCTCGCACTTTTCCAGCATAAACTGTATATCTTATGGAGGTTGTATTTCTTTGGGTTAGGCTGTTGACTTTGGAATTCTTATTGCTTGAATCATGCATCCTTTTGTCTGTCACGCAATACCAGGGGGCCTTTTAGCTGCACTAGCTGTCCTGTGGCTAGATGAAGAGATGGAAGGAGTCAGTTTTTGTGCTTGCTTATCTAGCCAGAAGGATTAGACTTTATGCCTCTTGACTATAATATGTCAAAAAACATGAAGATTGTAAAGTATAAACAAGTACACTTGCAATATCTGACTCATGTCCTTTCAGTTAATGCTAATGGTTGATGTGTAAAATATTAGCCATATCATATCCAGAAACTTAGGTCTGAGTTTTTAAAAACTTAAGTGAAATTTAATGGAAAAATTGTCTACAGTTGTGTTTGGTACTCCTGTAAGATAGAGGCAGAAAGAAACGATTATTATTTTGGGGGTGGGGTCAGTTGGGGAAAAAGACCATTCTTGTTTGTGTTCTACCCATGTTAATGTGGCACGCATATATAAAGACATCAATTATTGCTCTGCTAGTGACTGTTCACCCGCATGACTCCTACCGATTTTTTCCCAGTTGATGTTCTGTAGCACAGTGCAAAATTGTGTAAGGCTGTGAACATTGCTCGTAAATAGTAAATTTGACAAGGAATCACTCCTAGGGTTGTTTAGGCATCACTCCTCGGGTTAGAATTAAATCACACAACTCAAAAACATATAATTGCTATAATTTTTTGAAAATATCTTTCTCTATCTCCTTTAAATTAAAGCATAACATCTCTTTATATAGACCTCTAAGTATTTGCTAATCTTAAAAGGATTAGAACTCCAAAGATTCTTAAGACTTCAAATATGCTGAACTCATTATAGACTTAGAAACTAATATAGACTGGAACTAGGATTTTAGATTGTAGAACATCCAACACTAGAATTTGACCAAAAAAGTGACTTGTGGGTTAGACATTGACCCATTCTAGATAGAAATTACAAAATACCCTTGACCCTAAAAAATATAAAAAGAACACAAAGTACTAAATACAAGCAAACTAACTTAAGGTAATTAAAATAAGACTCAAATAAAACTGTACAAGGTTCTATATGAGTCTTTGTCATGATAAAATTCCAAATTTCATAGTTCTTCATGTCTTTGAATTTGTTTCTTCTTGAGCATTTTAATAACTACATTATTCTCCGCTGGTTGGAAAAAAATTGGCCTTGAGTTTTGAAGTGTTGAAGTATGAAAGTGTAAAAGTTTCAAAATTACATCTGTAATTGTATCTAAGAAGTCTTAAGATGATGCTTCTGTTTCTTCTTGAGTTGAGGAAATTGAGAAAAAACTTGGAGATCAATCTTCTCAATTCGATTGGTGAACTTCTCTGGAATGACAAAAGCAACTGGTGGAGCAAAGTGAATAGAAAGAACATCCTTGAATTGTCATTGAACATGAAGCCTAGTAGTTTGCCTTGTAGCCTTCCCTTCCTCTTCCTCGGTCAAACTTTTAGTAATACTTTCAGATTCTATCTCTTAGTTCATGGTGATATCTTTTTTCGTAGCCTTGATATTCTCTTGAGCATTGTTAGTTGGCTCTTTATGTTCACTTAGATTCCTGGTGGATTCGAAAAAATTGAGCACTTGAGTTTCATTTGACAACTCTTTTGATACTATAGTGGAACACTCATAACAACTCAGTCATGTTTAAAGACAAACTTGATTTAGTATCAACTACTTTTTTTCAATATTCTTAGGTTCCACAACATAATTATTTTCAAAATTCCTGCTTTTCTTCTTAATTTTTGTATAAATAATTAGTGAACTGCCCAAAGAAATAGATTGTGTAGACTCATCTACATGATCTCCTCCGCCCTAAATTATTGGATTGCTTGTTGTTTTGGGTTGTCTTTGATGAACCTTCTCTAGTTACATAGTGGACATTGCACCACCATTGGGTTGATTGGGTCGACTTTCTACATCGCTTAATCAAATTGAGATATTATGAAGTTACTCCCAAATTTAAAAAGCATCTCATCTCATTGCCCATTTGACATTCTCCCGCGAAACGATCTTCCCAAACGCGTAGACATGTTCGATCCTCGCTCTGATTCCAAAATTGATGTAGGATAACTGTGCAAAATCAGAATTAGTACTGTTTAGGGGTTGTGAACAGTACCCATGATCAGTAATGGGGAGTGAATAGTGCACATGAATAGTTTATTTGACTAGGAATTACTCCTAGGGTTTCTTAGGCATCACACTTGGGGTTAGAATTGCATCACACAATTTAAAAGCATATAATTGCTACAATTTTTGTAAATATCTCTCTCTATCTCCTTTAAATTAAAGCATTACATCTCTATAAATAGAACTCTAAGTATTTGCTAATCCTAAAAGTATTAGGACTCCAGAGACTCTAGGACTTCAAATGCCCTAAACTTAGTGGAGAAGAAATGTTTTTATGTGAAGATTGAAGGGTTGGCTGGAGAGTGTTTTTGTATTACTCAATGAAATCAATATGAATTTTTTTTTTCTTGCAAGTTCAATACAGAAGGGTTGCTGTGGTTGAAGAAGTCTATTTGGAATGCTATTCAGTGGAATAGGAAAGATGTGTTCTAAAAAAAGTACAGTGGTAATGGCTTTTGCCTTTGGATGGGATTGGACTCTAGTAGAATTGGTGACTTTGCTAGAGTTTGTAAGTTGATGAATAATGGAAGAAAAATAGGATTGATTATTCCAAAAGAAATTGTTGGAAGGGGATGAGAGATTTTTGAAATGTTGTTAGAGATGTCCTATACGGGCATAAGCAATATCTGTTTCAGAAGGATAGTAGCAGAAGAGGTATGGTTGAGAATGGAATGAAATGTCACGTAGGTAACAATAAAAGGAATTCTCTAGATGCTACTGTCCTTAAAGGGATGACATGATCCATTAGGTTTTTCAGAAATGGACGACTACTGTTGTGTGCATCAAGGAATTATTGTTTCACCTTTGGGCATTGATTTAGAGTGAACTTTCAATAGTTTTGAATTTTGAGGTTTGCTTAAAATCTTTTCAAATAGACAAGGCCATTTTTTTTTGTCTAGATGTTTTAAGGGCTGAAAATATTTGTAGTAAGGAAAATATGTTTTTGCTGGACTCTGTCACGATGAATCTTTAAAAATGGTGTCCAGAATTTAATTTAAATCGAAGCATGGTGTCGTTTATGGGCGGGCGGGCGGATTGCAGTAGAAGACTTGCCATTTCATATGTAGAATCAAGATGTTTTCATGGAGATTGGAAATTGTTTTGGTGATTTTGTAGAAATTGATCGTGAAATAGAGAATTGTGAGAATCTCTTTCAAGCAAGGCTCAGGGTTCATAAACCCACTTCTGGTCTGTTGAGGACATTGTGGACTATTGTGTTTGATGAAAAATCTTTCCCATTAGAATTAGGGTTTTTCAGAATATTGGGAGGTGTAGTCGAGAGGAATGATGGAGGTTGTTTGGAGGAGGTAGCACCAAAAAAGGGTTCTACGGTCGAGAGGTTGAACATGAAGTAGATAGGGTTGAAGGGGTACGTGTCATGATGGGAGGTTGGGGTGTACAAAAGTTAAATGTTGTCAAAGTCGGTCAAAAGGAAATTTCAATTAATGTTAAGAATGCTGTAATTGAGGTGTTTAATTGCGGAGGAGAATATGCTAATTACTGAGAAAAAGGAGGTTTAGATGCGAATTTGAATTTTAAATCTGCTTTGAAGAATGGTTTGCAGTCGGTTAATAAAACCAATCTAGTGGGCTCACAGGAAATGGGCTATACTTAAAACCTTGAAGCCCAAGAGGCTAGGGCTAGTCAACCTGGGCTCAGGTCTAGTCAACATTGGCTCAGGTCTTCTTTCACTCTAAATCCATTAGGTGCTTCTGATGGGCTTAAAAGGTCGGGTCTAGTAAATATTAAGAGGCGGGCAAAGTGGGCTTGGGGTCTGAAAAGGCCCAATGTATTGGCCTAAAATAGTGCTCTTCTTAGGCGACATCTTCTATGACTATTCAAGGCTCCCTCGATTTAGTGAGGTGCAATGACGATGCCGAAGGCTATAAGCAAAATTTTGCCATGGGTTTTGAGTCAAATGGATTGAAGAGAGTAGATGGATTTGGGTTTAGCTGAGGGAGGTAGGGATGATGATGATGAGCTTTTCATAGAAGACCTTGGCAACGACATTTATGGGGTGGCCGAAGATGAATAGAGGAGGATGGCTTTGGGTATGGAAGATGGTGATTGTGATTTTCTAGCGATGGAATTGGGGGACAGTGAGAAGGATAGTGATAGCTCTAACTGTTGCCTCTACAGGGTGATATGGATTGTGATACACGAGCGATTTCAAATGGGATTCTAGGAATGTTGTGCGACTTTTCAATTGGATGGACAACTCTGGAGAACACTTTGAAGCATATCATAAGATAAGTAGGGTTGGTGAACTTGATTCTCATGCTTTGTTTTGCCCTTTGGAGGGATTTTCTGCTCTTTCCTCTTCAGCTTTGGACAGTTCTGGGGGGACCTTCTATCTTTTGTTTTACTGTTTTTGGGCTTCCTACTTTTTCTGCTTTTGGTCATTCTATTGTCTCTGATTTGTGTGGTCCTGTTGGGGGAGTGGGGAAGGGGAAAAATGTTGAGGAGGAAGTGTTGAAAAATGGCATTGTTGAGGTTTTAGGGGATAAATTCTGGGAAGGGGGCTTAAACAATGGAAAAATTGATGCTTTTGGTTAAGGGTCCAATAAGTTTGAGGTTTCAGGTGGAGAGTTGGTTACTGTTGAGCAATTTGGTTCTACGGATGCTAGGATTGTGACTCTTTGCTTCATTAGATGTTCCAACTGTTGTATGTTGAGTACTGATAGAATGAATAATACAATGAACTTTGGTATGGGTTTTCTAGAGATGCTACCACTAGAGCTCTTGTGTGTCATGGTGGAATGGGAGATAATGGAGAGTCAAGGCTGGGAGAGGTAAATAGTGACTGTTTTGTACCTAATGAAGAAAATTGGATGGTGTTATATTTTTTTGCAAAAAATAGATTTGTCATTAGTTTTGTCTAAAAAGAGATCAATAAGTAAAGGAAAAGGCAGTAGTGTGAGAAAAAATAAGGGGATTAGAGCATTTAAGAATTTACAATTAGGGATTAATTATGAGGGAGGAAAAACTAGTAAGAGTTGGGAGGCTATTTTAGTTTGTTATGAAGATTATTACTTGGAATGTTAGAGGTTTAGGGTCGTGGGAAAAAAGAGACGAAATTAAGGATTTTCTAAGTAGCGTTGGGCTTGACATTGTTATATTGCAAGAGACTTAGCTGGAAGTCATTGATCTAAGGGTTATCACTTCCATCTATTGGTAGATTGAGAGGGATTGTTATTATTTGGGATGGGAGGGGTGTTACTATGGAAGTCTATTGAAGGAGAATTTACAATTTCAGTGAGATTTAAAAATAGGGAGGGTGTAGATTGATGGCTTATTGGGCTGTATGGTCCAAATAAACCTCGGTTTAGAGAAAATTTTTGAACAAAGTTGGGGGTGTTGTTTAGAGTCTGTAGTCCTAGATGGTGCATGGGGGAGGAGGGGGGTTTAATGTTATTAGATACGCAAGTGAAAAGTTGGATGGGGGTAGAGTGACTAAGAGTACGAGGGTTTTTGACAATTTTATTAAGAAAACTGACTTAGGGACCCACCTTTAGGCAATGGTGCATTTACTTGGTCTAATTTTAGAAGTAGGGTTGTGTAAGAGGTTAGATAGATTCATTTTTTCTATTGGGTAGAGAATTGTTTTTCGAGTGTTGGGCAGAAGGCTTTGACGAGAGTTATTTCGGATCATTGCCCTATTATTCTTCAAGATGCCAAGTGTAGGTGGGGACCTTGCTTGTTTAGGTTCGAAAATATGCGGGTAGAGCATGTTGTCTTTAAAAAGAGATTTAAGGAGTGGTGGACTGGAGGTGAGGTTGTGGCATGTGAAGGTTATAAATTTATGAAGAAACTTGATTATGTTACACGGAAATGGAAAATATGGAATAAGGATATTTTTGGGGATGTTCGTGAGGCGAAACGGGTCATTGAGAAGAGAAATGAGAATATTGATAGGATTGAGGAAGAGAGTGGGTTGGATGAGGGTTTAAGAATGGAAAAGAGGAATCTTAGGAATAAATTTGAGGTAGTGCATAAGAAGAAATTAGTTAAAGACAACAGTAAAGGGTCAAATGGGTGATAATAAATCAAATTTTTTTCATATGGTTGCTAATCGCAATAGGGTGAGAAAAGTCATTGATAAGTTGGAACCAGAGAGTGGTCTAATTGTTGATGATGAGAATTTAATTGAGATTAAGATGGTTCAATTCTATGAAAAGTTTTATGCTGCCCAAGAGTGGACGAGACCTACTTTGGTGGGGTTATATTGGTGTCCCAATGGTGGGAATGATGTTTTGTGGTTGGGAAGGCCATTCGAGGAGGAGGAAGTTAAAAGAGCTGTATTTTAATGTAGTAAAGACAAAGCTCCTAGTTTGGATGGATTTGCTATGACAATTTTTCAAGTCGGATGGGATGTTGTGAAGGATGACTTGATGGGGTGTTTGGGGAATTTTTTCATAATGGAGTGGGGAATGCAGTCACAAATGCTACTTTTATTTGTCTTATCCCAAAAAAAATTAACTTTTTGAGATTGAAAGATTTTAGACCTATTAGTTTGATTACTATTTTGTATAAAATCATTTCTAAAGTTCTTTCAATCATGCTAAGGGAGCTTTTAGGTGAAACTATTTCTTCTTCTCAAGGGGCTTTTATGAGGGGTAGACATATTGTAGATGTGGCTTTGGTTGCAAATGAAATTGTGGATGATTATAGAGGTAGAGGAAAGGAGGGTATTATGTTGAAGATTGATTTTGAGAAAACTTATGATTATGCTGACCGGGGTTTTCTTGACCTTGTCTTAAGGGTAATAGGTTTTGGAGAGAGGTGGAGGAATTGGATCAGATTATTATGTTTGGAGTCTATGAGTTTTCAGTCATGTTAAATGGGAGACTGATGGGAAAATTTAAGGCATCAAGAGGGTTTGATATTTTATCCTTTTTCTTGTTTACATTGGTGGTGAATGGTTTGCGTAAAATCATGGAAAAGACGCAAAGGTGTAATTTAATGGAGGGTTTTATGGTTGGTAGAGAAAGAGTGGTGGTTTCTCATTTTCAATTTTGCAGATGATACCATTTTCCTCTCTTTGAGGGATGAGGCGAAAATCCAAAACTTGAAAAAAAAATTTGAGGGTTTTTGGGGTTATATAGGTCTTAAGGTTATTAGATAGACTGACTTTTGGTTTGAGTTGTTCGGTGGGTGGTTGGACCTTGAAGTATCTTAGGGTCCTTTTGCATGAAAGAAAGCTTTATTTCTAGGGGACGTAAGACAAACAAAATTTTGTTTTGAAACGTTCGAAACGTTTCCGTTTTCAAGGAGACCACAATTAATCAATGGTAGAATTGAAATTTTAATATTTCGTGGTATTCATAATGTTTTGAGGTGTTTTATAATGTTTTAATGCATTTATACAATTTTTTCAGAATGTTTTTCAAGATATTTTGGTATATTTTGACCAATGTTTTAGAAAAATAATTCTTAATTTTTTTTATTTTTTCCATTTTGTTTTTTAAACGGGTCGATACGTTTTCGAAACATGTTGAAACGTTTCTGTTTCCTAGGTAACTAAAACAATGCATCGAAACAAATTTTTTATCCTTGAGGTAGGTTGACTTTGGTTTAGTTTGTTTTGGCTAGCATTCCTATTTATATCATGTCTATCTTTAGATTACCAAGCCTTATTGCTAAGAAAATTGACGGCTTGATAGAAGTTTTTTTATGGGAGGGATTTGGGGAAGGTAGGAAAGCGCATTTGATTTCATTGGAGATTATGTCTAGACCTAGGGCTAAAGGTGGTCATTCAATTGAAAATTTGTTAAAAAGGAACGAGGCATTGGTTGAGAAATTACTTTGGAGATTCCCTTTGGAATAATGATCATTGTGGTGTTTCGTTATTAGATGCAAATATGGGTTGCAATATAATGATTGGTTCAAAGTACACGGAAGTTTATTGCTCAAGGGTTACCAACTTTTTCTCATAAACTTAAGCTCATGGTGGGTGATGGTACTAGGATTCGCTTTGGGAAGATTTATGGGTTGGTAAGGCTTCATTGTGGGATCTTTTTCCTTATAATTATCATATTTCAATGTTCCATGGGTATAAAATTGTCATTAGTTCATTATGATTCCTCGTTATTGTCTTGAGATTTTGGATTTCGTAGAAGTCTTAATGATAGGGAATGTTTAGAGGTGGTAAAAATCCTTTCTTTGCTTAATAGTGTTTTTTTGACTCAAAGGTTCTTTGGACCAAAGAGTTTGGACTATTGATTCTTCAGGTATTTTCTCTTGGAATTCCTTTTTTGAGTCTTTAATTGATGATCCATCGATTTTGATGTTTTCCCCTTCGCGAGTGATAAGGGAATCTAGAGTGCCTCTTAAAGTGCAAATTTGTGTATGGATAATTCCTCATGGTAAGCTTAATATTTATGATGTGCTTCAAAGAAGAAGACCTGAGATTTGTCTTTCACCGCAATGGTGTATTATGTGCAAAGGTGATGGGGAGAGTATTGATCATCTCTTTCTTCATTGTCCTATTGCATTCTCTCATTGGAACAAGTTGCTTAGACTAGTTGGGTATTGTTGGGCGGCACCAAGAAACATGTTTACGGTGACATGTTTGGATGTTTGGAGCGGGGGTGAAAATAGGAAGTGGAAAACCCTTTGGCATTGTTTGGATGATTTGGCTTGAAAGGAATGCAAGGATTTTTGATGACAAATGTGAGGAGGCTGAAGAACTATGAAAATGACTTTCCTTTTTGGCCACCGTGACTAAAGAGTTTGAAGATATCCCTCTTTCTTTTATTATTTCGAGTTGGACTGCAACGTGTGGTGTGGAATGGAGTGTTTGCCCATAAATGGTTTTTTTTTTTTTTTGTCTTGTTTTTTTTATATTTTCATATCTTAGTTTTTGGGATGCTTTGTCCAACTATGATGTGTCGTTTGTAATTTTTGGTTTTTCCATAAAATCATTGTTTCTTATAAAAAAAAAAAAAAACTTACTAAAGACCAAGAAACTAAGATAGACTAGAACTAAGACTCTAGATTCTAGAACATCCAACACTAGAATTTGACTGTAAAAGATGTTCCACGAGTCGGATTGTGATGTGTTCTAGCAAATATAGAAATTAACAAAATACCCTTGACTACAAAAAATATAAAAATAACACATATAGTAGTAAATACCAACAAACTAATTTAAGGTAAATTAAAAATAAGACTCAAATAAATTTGTGTAAGATTTCATACGAGGCTGTCTTGATGGAAGGCCAAATTTCGTAGTTCTTTATATCTTTGGATTTGTCTCTTCTTGAGCATCTTAATATTATATTATGATGCCTTGATCCTGCCTTTTAATCGTACAAACTCAAGTAACCAGCCTAGGTGTTCAAAAGTTTTGGTTGGGCACAATGGGGAAAATGCCTGCAAGCACACTTGGTGAAGTTAGGCATGCGTTTCATATTTGTGATGAAGATCTATGCTATAACACCCCTAATTGTTGTTGAAATATAAGCCTGGAGCTGACTTTTTTGGGTGAAAAACTGCATTTTGAAAAACTACACAAAAAAATCATAATTATGAAAATCCCCCAAAACTATTTGGGTTGTTCTTTAAAAAGCTGAAAAAGTGCATTTAGAGTGATTTTTTAGCTTTTTTGGCTTTTTGTGTCAAAATAAAAA